CCACGTCTGTGAGCCTATTTCTGGTTTGCAAGTAAGTTCATTTGTATCATTTTTGAAGATCCCACAAATGAGTGATATCATATGGTATTTGTCCTTCTCTGTCTGACTTACTTCACCTAACATGATCATCTCTAAGACCATCCATGTTGCTGCAAATGGTACATAATGTGATTTTGATATCACCAGATCACATTTCTAAAAGCCAGGGAGGAGCTGGATACTATGGCTTAGGAGCTGAAGAATCTTCCTGCAAGGATACAGCCTCTGTTTATCCATCTGTGATTTCTGCTTGTACTGAGCCAATCTCATTACTCTGCCATGAATCTGGAAAGGAGAAACTGGGGATGAAGCCTATTCATAGGAGGCTCAGCAGCTGAGGGCTGACTGGGGGTTGGGGCTGGGGAAGCCCCAGATGCGTAAACAGCTGGGGCCCCTGGAAATACTGGCTGGAGGGGAAAGCAGAGGAAGGAGTGGGAGACACAGAGTGTGCTTGGCTCCTGCTGACTTTCCAGTTTCTACTGTTCTCGCAGGAGGCCACACTGTGCTGTGCTCCTCACCCTTTGGTTTCTACAAGCTTCCTCTTCTAGCTTCACAAAAATGTAAAAAAATCTTCCTTTCTTGGGCTAACTTGAGTATTTTCCTCATTTCCTCAGAGAGCACCGCTCCTCTTTAGTGCCAAGAAGTAGAAGACAATGTGGTGTGTGAGGGTAGAGTTTATTGTCACTAGGAATCTTTTGAAAGGAAAGAAGGTGCTAGCAATTACTCCAGGAAAACAGGTGTAAATAAACCAGGACACTGCAGGCAATGGGACACTTGGTCATCCTCAGGACAGGAAAAGTGAATTAGAAGCTTGCCCGCCTAACCTCTCCACTTGGTCTTTGATAAGTCACTTATCTACGTTTCCAGTGTCACGTAGCTATAAAGATAATTCTATATCTACCACATTCATTTGAAAAGTGACAAAGTCTGTTTTCTTGACTATAAAATAACAAATTAAGTGATGCTTATGGTTTTTTCTTAATCTAAGACTACATCTTCATAACTCTGAAAAAAGGCAACTCAGAAGATGAGGCAGATAGACAAGGAGTCCTTTAAGATTACATGTAGTTGCTTATCTTCACATAAACAACAATGAAGCTATTTTACTCATTTGACTTTAAGAAAGAAGACCACACATATTCACCAATCAAAGTTATTTTGTTAAATATATTTCTGGTAGCATTAGAACAGCTCCAAAATTGCTCTGGCTCCCCAAAGAGGCCGGTTGGTACTTGCCCAGAGCCTCAGGTTCAGGCAACAGGTAAGTGAATCTGACTGTTCATCTCATCCGAGACCTAACGTTAGGGTCCTTCCTTGGTCTGTGAATAGGAAGCAAAGTGTGAACAGCCCCTTGCCCTCTCACTATTTCCCTTGCCAGCCCATCTCTTATTAGCCAGCTCTGACTTTGGCCAGTTCTGTGTCCCCATTTCTGAGAAATGTTCAACTGTTTGCAAGTCTAAAGGCAAACGTAATACTCTGAGCTGCAGAGTTTTTCTCAAGCAAAGATCACAGGCCTGTGTCACAGAATCTCCAAAATTTGGAGTTACAAGGAACTTGATTTACTATACATGCTTTAGTTCCTAGATGAGAAAAGAATATCTAGAAACAATAACCAATGTTGATTGTTGGCTCTACAAATATGTTGCCTATACAAATAATAGTAACGAATTTAGGCACTTGGGAGGGATTGTGCTAGATGCTTTACATCCATCATTTTACGCCATTCTTGCAGCAACCCTAAGTTAGGTGTTCTCATTACCCTCATTTTCAAAGTGAGGAACCTGAGGTTTTGAGGTTTTAATTTTGCAACTTGTCTTGTCTAACTTAATCCAAGAATCTGTCAGTGACAGAAAAAGAAATTTTAACCAAGTTCTGCTGACTCGCAGGACACTGTTCTTTCAACTAAAACGATCAAAGGTGAGGCAGTAGGCATTTAGCTACCTACCGTGTACCAGGTACTACACTAGGTGCCAGGACAATTAGTGGGGTTACCAAAAGAAATGAAGTATAAAATCCCACCCTTCCAGGCTCTAGGGAGGAAAACAGGTTGCTGGGTCTCTGCAAAGCTCTGTCTTCAGGGAGGTCAAAATGCTCCACAGAAAAGGCATGGTTAATGCTCAGCGTGTCCCCCAGGACTGGAGTGTGGGTAGACAAGAACAGAGACATGACTCTGCCTCTTCTGCAACTGAGAACAGTACAGAGAAGTAATTACAGGGCTTTCTCAACGCAAGGCATAACCATAGCAAGCCAAGAATGGGACCACATTGTCTCAGTTCCCCCCACTCTATCCAACGGTCAAAATTAAAGTCTCCCTCTAATCACTGCTAGTCACTGCAGGGCTCAGGGACAATTATTACAAGACAGATTCTTCTAGTAGGAATTATGTCACTTAGCGTCTCACTCGTAGACCAACCTACTCAGTTGAATTTCATCCCTTTTCTCTCTTCTCTTTTCAATGTAGACAAGCCAGGACATGGACAATCTTCAAGCAAAAAAATTAAGAACTGGGAGTATCAGGGTGGAGTATACTACAAGTGTGTTAAAGTTTTGAATGAAATTTTCCATAACAAGACTAATGCAAATAATGATGGTGGCAATAACTGCCCTCCTATTCTGTGCCTGACTGTGCTCAGTGCTTTACAGAGACCACCTTACTCAGTCTCAGCACACACACAGGCAGATTTAGGGTATGTGTGAAGCTTATACAATGTGCCAAGGCCCTTCCTAAGAAAAAGAAAATTTTGGATACAGGAAGGTAGAAGGCCTTGGAAGTGCCTGTCCAAGTGAAGGACCCAAAGCTTAAGCTTTGTAAGCTTTGCGATAAATGCACCACTGAGACAAAGACAGCTCACATCTTCGTTTCTCCGAGTAATGAAACAGGCTCAGAGCAGTTAAGTAACTTGGCCAAAGTCAAAAAGCTTGGAAATGTCAGGGCTAGGATTTGAACATAGGCTGTCTGACTTCAAATCTCGTGTATTTTTTCTTTGCTTATGTGGCCTCTAACAGAAATAAAACTGTTATCATTTACAAAGCACTAACTCTATCCCATGAAAAGTACGCCCATTTTCTCTACTCTTATAATCCCTTTATTTACATGGGTTGTTATTATCCCCATTTGCAGATGGGGAAATCTAGAATTAAGAAAGATTAAGCACTAGCCTACGGTTACCTAGCTAGCACATGGTGGAGCCAGGATTCATGCCCACGGGTTGACATGCGGTCCTTACTCTTTCCCACTATCCTACAGGTGAGAGAGCAGAACAGTAATGATAGTAATGTATGACTTCTGGTTGACTCACAATATTCCCACACCTGTTCACTGAAACTAGCCCTGTAAGTTTCACACACCACATTATTCCTTATTGTGGTTAGGCAATTCTGGAAGTCTACTTCCCCTGTACTATAATGTATTAGGGATCAGAGTCCATTCGTCATGGAAAAAACCATCTTGAAAAGCCAATCATCAAATGTCAACAAAACTCAAGCCCCAAGCAAGCTGCCTTACAACCACTGTCCCTGCCCCCCTGCCCTGCCCCTCGTGAAATGTAGACCCACAGAGCATCCGAAGGCTGGTAACATCTGAGACACTGGGGAGATCACTCATCTCACAGGGCTCTCCTGAAACAGCCTTTCAAAGCCACACAAGAAAATCCAATTGTCTATAACTGGATTGCTTAAGTCTAGTCACTCAAGTAAGAGGCTACATCCTTAAACAATCTTGCCATGGATGTGCAGGTGTATGGGAGTGGAGAGATTCAGTTTAGTTTTTTTTCCCCCTTGAATATGGGTGTTCAGGGAAAACAATGGCCTCTGAGAAGCTTAGACTGGGGCCTCGTCTCCTCTTGGCAATGTGAACTTTTAAAAAGTTCAACTATACTTTGCCATGCCATTTTTTTAAAAGCTGCCTTTAACTGTCAGATTTCAAGTCATTGATGGCTTTTAAAAATCTCTGTTAAAGGTGTATGTCTGTTGCCACCTGGAACGAGACAACTTTGCTAACTGGAAGTGCAGTGATCAAACTGGACCAGGCCTGGGTGTTTTTATCTGGCCCATAGCAACTGTAAACCATTGCTTTCTTGTTAGCATGGGATTGTGGGTGCTAACAAGACAGACTGCTCCAATCATCTTTTTTTAAGGAACAAGTGATCTCAGTAACTCTCCCTTGTTCCCCCTTCCATACAGATTGCTGGATGTGGGTGAAAGGGCAGAAGAAATGACCATCACTGCAGTCATAGGATAGAGAAGTCTTTTGAAATGACCAGTTCTCCAGCTCTCTTACCTAGGGGGAAGACACAGGCTCAGATTATTTTAAGAATCTAAATGCATCTTTGCCTGGAATTTATGGCTTTTTGAGAAGAGCAAGAATCCACTATGAGACAAAGCAATGCAGACTATTGGTGCAAGATACCAAGCTAAGTCAGCCAGTAAGCACAGACTCTGATGGCCTGAAATGTCACCCAGCCCAGAGGCCTGGCCCTAGCTACCGACTGCGCGCTGCTCAGCCCAGAAGGCAAAAACACGATTGACCACACACCACTTCAAAGGCCTCAGCAAACAGCTAACAACCTGCGGCTGTGATGTCTTTCATTTAGTTTTGTTTCCTCACGAAGTGGAAGGGAAATGAGTTTGAGTCCAACAGAGACGGGGACGTAGTGGGGATGCAGAGGGAGTATGACAGAAAATAAGTGAAAGCCTTAAAAATATCTAGATCTGTAGTCTCTTCTATTACTATAAAGGGTACATAGTCATTCCCATTCCTCTCCATTCTTCTTTAACCCTTACCAACCAACCCCAAGAAGACAACGAAGAAAGGAAGGCTGTAGTCCGGAGGGTTCGCCAGGGTCCAGATCCTCCCTGCACAAGGTTCAGCAGTCGGGGTGGGGTGGGGGGCGAGGGGGTTGCAAGTGTCCCCCCAGCAACCCGCGAGCGCGCGCGCACACACACAGCCCGCCACGCCTCACCTTCTCGATCGTCTGGTCCACGGCCTTCTGGAAGACTCTGGCCACCAGCAGCGTGACGCTGGTCACCAGCAGGAGCAGCGACAGCGTCCCCACCGCGTAGAAGCAGCACCTGCCCATTCTGCGCGCGGCTCACGGGCCTGGCGG